CACCTCTCACATTACATAGAGTCATTTATCTCTTGCCATAAATTGCCCTCCACATATGTGAATGCATAGTCACACAATATAGTCAAAGAGCACTTGAAGAGAGGAGTCAAAGTCCTCTAAGAGAAGAGTCACATAGTAGGGGTCACGTACAGTTGCATGCGAATAGATGAAACATCCAAGCTGTAACTCACTTCTTACACTAGAAATCATCTTGCCTAGATTGCTTAGATGGTAAGATGAAATTGTCTCATAGAGGAGGAGAAATTCAATCATTTGATTAGATTTTTTTATGAATATTTTACTCAAAATGGTCCTTGGGCATAATTTATGTTTCAACTAGTCTTTTTCACTAATTCTCTTAGATATAGAGAGAGAGGCACTACATAAGATGAAAATGGATAAGAAATTCTAGATAGAGTAGCAAGTTGGAAAATCCTGTAGAAAAGATGATTCAAGTCTTGCTTAAGGACACTATCCTTAAATGCCATTTCACCACACCAGTTAAATTGCAATTGTTCCTCAGGATTAAACATACCTTTCTTGCAGAAAACAAGGTGATAGAATAGCATACATATAAACAAGAAAGATAGAACCTATAGGGAAGAAGAGAAAAGTTTAAAAACTCTTGAGCAGTGTGTCCTCAAACAACCTATGAGCACATGCTTACATAGACATAAAACTATGGGTGGTTTAAAGGCAAATAAAGACAACTTAATGACAATTAAAAATGACTTGATGACCATTTATGGAAACTGTTTTTAAATGTTGTAATTAAAATAATTAATGATAATTGAAGTGCCTAACACCGCATGTAACTCAGGTAAAGAAAAAAAACTGAATCTTAAATGTTGTAAGGAGCTATACAAATTTAGGGATTTTGGCACCTTGAAATCTATCATGCCCTGAAATAGAGGGTGACCGGCGCAGGGGTGCGAACTATATCACTCATTTCTGTAAGCTTTAAAATAAAAATTCATTCTATTTTCTAAAAAGAAATAATCAGATCATATAAAAGCTCTAACACTTTTAATATTAATTATCATAACAAGACTTCAACGTTTTTGTAGAAATTTTAGTAGAACTTTCCCTATAAATAGGATCCGCCAAAATTCTACAACAAAATTTTCACAAAACACAGTATCAATCAGGAGCTTAGCTCCTTCTAGCTAGCAATAGTATATATAGATCAAAATAAAATTCTAACAACAATCTATATGGAGCACTAATCTTTCTTTTAAATCAAAAATACATACAACTTATATATTTACATCAAAAGTAACAATACCAACGAAAATTTCCACCCAATGTAGCTATATTGCCTTTCAAAGGTCAGTAGTGGGATCAGTGTCTGCTAACAAATCTAATACTAAAATAAGTTTTTCAGTAAATAACATTTCCAAAGTAAAATTTTAAAAATTTAAATTATCAAACTCAATTCATGGTGTAAACTATAAAAAAAATAATTTAACATAATAAACTTGTAGGTCTATAAATCATAACCATAATCATAAAATGAGAGTAAATTGAAAGCAAATTATTTTATCATGCTTAAAGAAAACAATTTACTCACATATAAATTAGAGTGACATAATTGCTAGTCAAAATCATGTAAATTTCGAAAACACATATTAGTCAACATTTGGAATTTTGAGAACTTAACAGAACATGTAATATATGTGGACACACAATCTACAAGGATAAATAACCAAACGTGACTTATGCCATAAAAACAAATGTTGACACACAGTTCATAAGGGTAAGTAACCCAACATAGTCAAAGCTACAAAAATAAACGTTGACACACAGTCTACAAGGGTAAATAACCAAACGTGACTTAGGCCATGAAATATGTTTAGAATCCTCTTAAAAATCACATTTCAAATACGCAAGAAGAATAATTACTTCTGAAATAAAATTTGCATCTTCAATACTGAACTTACATGAATCATTCCAAATTTTAATGTAATACTTGTTGAAAATAATATTTCATAAAGAATGTATAAACTTGCATTAATTAAACAACCAAGAATTTTCAGAGATTTATAAACAACTAATTTCATAATCTTTGAAATATATTTCTTGAGGAAATAAATGCACATATCATTATCTAATTATCCATCATTAATATTCTAGAAGTTCCAAAACTAATGTAATTCCTAAGAGTAAAATATTTTAGTAAAATTTTATTGAAAATGAAATTAAAAATAAGTTAAGGGGATATTATTCACTTACATGTTGGAGTTCAAATTCTCAAAATATTCTTCCTTTAATTCTTGTCTAAATCATGTTTTTCCACATACCCTATAAAGATATAAATAAATGAAATTTTTAACATAATTCTAAATCAACCACCATCATCTAAAATTCTAAAACTAACATCATATTTAGAGTTGATCCAAGTGCTATCATTAATATCACTAATCCCCATCAATTTGTTTTAGTCAAAACAATTCATTCATAATTCCATAACTTCCATACTAATATACTTCTCCCACCAAGCATTATTCTTCATACTTATAACTTGCCCCATTCTTGAGGTAAAAATTTTTTGATAGGTTTTGCACCAATTACTTTAGGTGCATAAATTCTAATTATTTAAGTTATATTTTTAAGCTACTCTCTCCAATCTTTTCTTAATAATTTCTTTAACCATATTCAATCCAAATAAGTTCTATTTAGCTCCAAAAATTATGACCTATATATATATATATATATATATTTATTTATCAAACTTTAGAAGGGACTTTCAACTTAAATTTGAATCTTCTCCCTCCTATAACAGCACGGCACAACAGCAACAGAAGGCATGCAAATTTTTTTTTTTTTCAATTACCCACGTACAGTCACAGACAGCAATAGGAGAGCCAAGTTTTGCCACTTTAATCACCAGTTCACATATACACAGAGCAAGAGAAGCCTAAACTTGAAACTTAATCACCTTAACTCACCACAACAGAAAACATGGATGAAGAAGTTGAAACAGACAGCTAAACAGGGGAGATATAAGCTGAATGCTGTCACCATGCACAATAATGGAAGAAGCCTGACTCCACAGCACCAATACAAGCTTACAGCAACAGCTCCACCCCAGTTTTGGTGCTTTGTGATTTCTCGGCCAGAATAACACGGATGAAATAGCACACAGAGAAGACGTAAAGACAGGGAGTACATAAGGAAAGGAATAACGAGGCTCACGACTGAACTTGAGAAAGGAAGATCTCATAAGTAAAACCTTCTAGCTCCAATGACTTGATCCTTTATTCCAGCCATACCTCGAATATGAGTAACACAGGGAAGCAATAGATCGAGAAAGAAGGAAAAAAAAAACAGAGCGGAAAGCATGAAGAGTGCACCTGAACTATGCTGAGCAGTGACAAGCTTCCTGTGACACCAGTGACAGCAAGGAACAAAGAAGGAAGAGATGGTCGGTGATGGTAGAAGCTTGGAGAGCAGTTTTAAACACTCTCAAATTCTGTCTCTCTCTCTCTGTGCACCGATTGAATAAGGAAGAGAAAGGATAATTTAATCTGATGAGGGAGAGGGTAGAGGTAATTTCATAAAGCTAAAATTACAAAAATAAACCCCCTCCATTTGGGCTTCAGCAGATTCAAAACTTGGACTCTTTACATAAATGGTTACATAGTAACCACTAAACCAAGTCTTCTTGCTACACATGTTCCCAAAATTAATATAATTACTATTAAAACACCAACTTATATATATACTTATTATTATTATTCTTATATTTCTTTTTCTAGGCTATTACAAAATTAAATGTAGCGTGGTTAACGTGTGACGTGTGTGGTAGCTACTATAGCTTAGTAAAAAAAGAAAAAAGGGGCTAGCCCTTATAGCCTATAAGCTAGCCAGTTTAGCATGCCTGTTTTGCAGTGTAGGTAAACCCAACTTGCTTTAAAAATGAGCTTATTTTTCAGGCTCAACTTGTTAAAATTGGTAGGCTAATTTCCCCCTTTTTTCTTTAAAGATAATGACAAACCTTATGAGCAATAACTACGCATGTTGATCCACATTGCTCTTGGTTGCATAAAGTTTATGAGCAAGGTCTAGGAAATTCATCAATGTTTGGCCATGTCTCTAGAATCAAAGAACACTCGTAAAAGTATTTACATATCACCCATCAATAAGGTTTTTATATTGACAACAAGATGAACTCATGACTTCTTTTGCATCAAATTTTTACCAACTGGATGAACTTTTATTGGTTGATCCACATTATGCTACCACATCATTTAGCTAATATGAAAGCATATAATTTTTTTTCATTACATCATGCCATTGATCATGGCTTTTACATATATAGAGATATTAATGATTTAAATACACACACACATTTACATTTAGATCAAATTAATTTTTTTTTGGCCAACAAGATCAAATTAAAATTGCACATTGTTTTCCAGAAAAAATAAATAAATTATACAATATTTATTGAATTTTTATTATCATTATTTATATTTATATTACTATTTGATTGATTAATTAAATTTTTGATTGCTCATAGTTATTCTTCTATTGGAGTACTAAATATGGACATTTCTCTCAACAAAAATTTAAACATTACTTTATCATGTGAGCGACTAGCCATTTTCACTGGACCCTCGCCTCGTTGGATATTAATGAATTATATTTAAACATGCATCTATCTATTTCTTGTTTATAGAGTCATTCGCTTATTCATTAAAAAATAATTATTTTGTACAAATAAATTTACAAGATGGATATCAAATATACATCAAGTACTGCTAGTATGCCGCTTTTGCTGCTGCTTGTTCTTCTTGTTTTTGTTTTTTGTTTTTTTGTTTTTAATATACATGCCCCTTTGCTTGCGAGTAAATGTTTGGTGAATCGATGAAATCCCAAGAGTCACCCCAAGAAGTTCAAACATGAATTTCCAGATACTTTTCCTATAAAGTCTATCTCGTACATTCACCTCTCTGTATCATGAAAGGGAAACTCTTTTCCACTTTCCTCCTTAAATTTTCAATCATCAGAGAACCCCCTTCTCTCTCCCTCTCCTTTTAGATCACCAACATCGCATGATCTTTCTACCAAACAACCTCACTGCTTCTCCAAACTCCCATTCATCAACAATTCTCTGTAAAGACGCGAAATGGATTATCCCAAACATACAATCGGGAATTTCGCTATCGTACTGCTATTCTTGATCGGAGTGCTTCTTCTGTTTCGGTCTTCTTCTTTCTCTAGCCCATTGTTCTTGATGCAGAAGTTACATTCAGACACAGTAAGTTGAAATCAAAAACCCCTTCTCATTTCTTGCTTCACAATGATTCGAAAGATCCACTCTTTTTTAATGTTACTATATATATCTGATTTCTTTTCTGATATTATTGTAGATCACCATGGATGAACCTCTTGATTCTGTTTTAGCGAAAGTGTCAACGGAGAACAAGACCGTAATCGTTGCAATAATAAACAAGGCTTATGCAGAACAAGACGTTAATGGCCATACCACCATGTTCGACCTGTTTCTGAGCAGCTTCTGGCTTGGAGAAGGCACGAGGTCTCTAGGGGACCACCTTCTGGTCGTGGCCGTCGATCAGATTGCGTATGACCGCTGCCGGTTTCTCCGGCTAAACTGCTTTAAATTGGAAACAGACGGTGTTGATTTTACAGGCGAGAAATATTTCATGTCCGATGATTTCATTAAGATGATGTGGAGAAGGACACTCTTTCTCTTGGATGTTCTCAAACGAGGCTATAGCATCATATTCACGGTACGTTGTTCTTTCAATTTCTTTAGAGATTTTTAGAAATAGATTGATTGATACAGTCAACTTAATTCAAAGAGATAGATCAGTTTTTTATTGAAATAATATATTGTTTTATTATGAAGTAATTCATCAAAGTTTACTGATTGGGGTTTAATTTGTGCGTCTTATGTGGGACAATTCAACTGGATAACTATAATTCTATATTTGCAGACAAAAAGGCTGTCAGTTGAAACTGTCTTGTTTTCAGGCCATATAAGTTTAAAAACATATTGAATTCCTTTGAAGTTGAAGAGAATGGTTTATCTCTATATTTGGAAACTTAATTATTGTTCGTTGATTCCTTTGATTTCTACGTTGTTAATACGCGTCTTCCTTGAGAGTCTTAATCTGTTTATATCCAATTAATGAACTTGAATAGTCTTTTTCTTTCTTAGTATATCCAAAATCCTATAATTTTACAAAATGCAGATCCCCTGTCAATCGTATATTTCTCTTTTCATCATAAATGCAATATATATCGTTTAGAATTCTTTCCGAAATTTCACTACTATATATATATATATATATATATATATTCAGAATAAACAGTACTGTTGACTGCATGTCTTCACTCTTTTTTGGCTTTTGAATGTGTTTCGTTTTCACAATTTATTGAACGATTTTTGCTTTAGCTTCTCCCGATTCTTTATTTAGTAGGTAGACAGAGCACCATTATTATTATTATTATTATTATTATTATTATTATTATTATTATTAGAAATAATATGGTACTATATTGTTGATTGTTGATTGTCATTTAACTTTATATAATGTTTTTGTTTGTTCTCTTAATTTTATAAAATAATTTTTCACTCCTTTAAACCTAAAACCATTAGTTTCAAATGATTTTGTTTTTATGTCAATTAATGATATTTTAAAATCAAACTTAATATGTCAAAATTTAAAAGTGTTTTGTTAATATTTAAAAGTTTAATGTATGAATTTTTTATTTATTTATGAAACTAACATATGTTAGAATTAAAAGACTGAATAGTTAAAAAAAAAAGAATTAAAGGACTTGTATAAAGTTAAATGATTGAAAGTATACGTCATTTTTAAATTGTTTTTCTGAATTAAGCTTGTAACATTTCTTATAGATAAATACAGAAATGACGTGTTTAGAGCTCAAGTTTGTCCAGTTTCTATTCTTGGTAGAAGAAATAAACAAAAATTGGGTGAACATCTTACGTTAGAATATTAGGTGTAAGAGATAAGTACTATATCAATTAAAGGGGTGTTAATTAGCTGTGAATTAATGTAATCGATACCGTTCTGACTACTAAATTTTGACTAAATGTAAAAGAGTTGCTGGTTAATTAATTAGTCATGGTAAGTGATTTATAGTAAAATGACACGTGAAGGGTTACCTTGGAACGGGAAATCTGGATTTAATTGTGGCCAAACACATGCCAAATTAAATAACTAAATAATTAAATTAAAGTTAAATATTGCACCTTCAGCGTTAATCTTGCTGCTTGAAACTAGAAAACACAATTTTTTCTTTGGTAATAAGTATTCGAGATTAAATTATCATTATCAATATATTACTCTCTTCAGTTTTTATTATAAGGCACTTTTAATTATCTTATTAAAACTAATGAGATATGATTAAGTTATTAACTTTGTTTAAAAATATAATAAACTTTCGATTTGACTCCTATTTAAATAAAAAATTTTAAATTTGCATTACATTTTATCACATAATAATAAGTTTAAATAAAGATAATATTAGAAAATGTAATTAATATCCAATCAAGTGTTATATATTAAGGATCAAAGAATTATTCTAAAAAAAGTCAAATAGAACTGGAGGGAGCATATTGATATTGATAGTGATGTTTATTGAAAAGTTTTTATTTAATTTTAAAGTTGTGCATGTCTTGCCTTGCACTCCTTGGAACATTCTATTATGTGGGCATACGGCGTGTGGTGGAGCACGTATATAAGTTCTAAATCAATTTTGTCTACGAGATTTATTATCAAATTTTGATTTATGTCACATCTCAGATAGCGTGTGTGAGAGCAAGTAACAGATTAAAACACACGAAATTGAAGATTGTTAATGCTTAATAATGGTTAATGATAGCTTCAGATATATATTGATTTATATTTTATTGCATTGATTAGGGTGAGTCAACAAGAAACTTAAACGAGAAATACTCGATTTTATGTTTACGTCACATGGCTAGATGGCGTATTATGTAGAAGAGTACTCACTAACGCAGGTGCATCAAATTAATCCATTTTTTATAAATTAATTGACTGATTCATTGATAATTGATAATTGATACTAAATATCCAAATAATCATTTTTCTTTATAATATATCTCAGGCAGGCAACAAAATTTTATTGTCAAATTGAATTGTATCAAAAGAAATCATTATATATCGTATCAAAGGTAGTGGTTTGCATATTTCTACTGTGTGCTGAAATTTTGTTTTCCGTTTGTTATTTCTGTCATTGTTATACTCATGCATACTGCACAAAAAATGAGAAAAATTTTAATTTTGTTTTCCTAACATTTTTCCTCTCATTGTATGTGTGGAATGAGAACAATGAAGGAAAAAGGTAAATAAACATAAAATTTTAATTCCTGTAATGGCCCAAGAAATATGCTTTCCTGGAAGATGTGAGAAGCTGTACTGCTTTACAATTATTGGATCATTGCATGTGAATCTTCCGTTAAAAAAACTTATTAATCAAATTGTATTCCTCATTTACTTTTTTTATAATTCAAAGAAGCTCGTAGTTATATAGTTAATGATAAATGTTCCTTTAATTTATAGTTACACAATAAATTTATTCAAAAAATAAATTTTGTTTTGTTATTTGCTTCCCCCTAGAATTGTGTTGTTTGCTTATTAATTACAATTGAAGTTACTAAAAGCTAGATTGATCAAGGCACTGATTCAAGAATTAATGATCAAAATCATAGTCAAATTGTAATCAAAATGGTCAAAAAAATTATTTTATCAAGATATTGGTTTAGTAGTTTATTTGTTCAATCGGGTGGATTGACCCGGATTTATATACTATGGTTATAAGAACATGAAATAAAGTTAGTTATTATCCTCACTATCTTTTTATATATGATCAAATTGAATATTCAATGGAACAGGATACTGATGTGATGTGGCTTAGAAACCCATTCACAAGACTTAGTAACGATACTAACGAGGATTTACAAATCAGCACAGACAATTACTTGGGAAATCCTTGGTCAGAAAACCATAATATCAACACAGGATTCTACTTTGTTCGATCGAACAAGAAGACCATTTCATTGTTTGAAACATGGTACAGTAAGAAGGACAGCTCCAAAGGTCATAAAGAACAAGATGTGCTTGAAGGTCTCATAAGACATGGCATTATCAAAGAGTTAGGTCTTAGGGTTAGGTTCATGGACACCCTTTACTTCAGTGGGTTTTGTCAAGATAGCAGGGACTTTAGGGCTGTCACCACCGTGCATGCTAACTGTTGCCGGACCATCACTGCAAAGATCACCGACCTTGAGGCTGTCCTCCGGGACTGGAAGCATTTTAAAATGTTGGAGTCAAGTAAGAGTAATTTGACAGCCATTGTGAAGTGGTCGGATCACCGTGCATGCCATAAGTCATGGCATTGACTGTACTTGGTGGTATGTGTAGTTGTTGAATTTACTCATTATTTAGAGGAACATTGCACTGTTGGGAAACAATTAAATACTTTTAGGGCATTTTAAGGTATTTCAAAATAAAAGTAAATTTGTGACAGAAATGCATTATTACAAATGTTTGTGTTTGTGATATGTGATGGAATTTCCCATCACATGATGATACAGAAGTATTTTCAATATAGATTTAATTTTGAGCCATGTACAATAGTATATTGTTTGCCTTCACATTGAAACAAAATCACTACAAAAAAAAAAAAGGGAATACTCGATGCTCTCTAGTTGACGCTTATTTGACAAAAATGACGAAAAAAAAGGTAGAGAGTACTTGACAGTTGTTTATACTTAACCATCCAATATATTAACCCATACTTGACACACTATTATTTACTAATAACTATCAAGTATACATATTTGATGGTTTTTAAATATAACCATTAGATAAATATGAAACATACTTGATGGTCTTGGTTAAACAAATTACAAATTAATAATTTAAAGAAAAAAATTAAAAATATACACATATTTGACACTTGTTTGAAAGTAACCATCAAGTATGCCTCACACATACTTAACAGTTATTTCCAAATAAGTGTCAAGTATGTAATATTTGACAGTTATTATGAAATAATAATCAAGTATTATCATATAAAATTCCTCCAAAATGTTTTTTCTTTGCATTTTTGCAACTCGTTTGTCATCAAAAACACACCCAAAGCCATGGGAATCCATTTTTTGTCACTCTAACTGCCAAAAAACATGTTTTTGCCCTTGATTCTTTTTGGGTTTTTGATTCTCAGCCTCTATCATTCTAGTGGGTGCTCATGTGGGTGGATTCTCAGCCTCTATCATTCTCCTCAGTCTTTATCTCTCTGTTTCTCTCTATTTTTAGCTTCTCCTCTTCTTCTTGATGTTAGTTCTTGCTTTCCCAATTATTAATCTTCATTTTGAATCTGTGGATTGTTGATTTTGACTTACATATGCAACAAGTGGTTTCAATGTTGATTATTTTGATCTCCATTATTGTTCATGTTATGTTTGTAATTTCAAGTTTTAGGTGCTTGTTGGATGCTTAATGGTGCTTGTTTCGCAATTGAATGATTAGTTCATATTTTTATTCCTTGAGTTGTCAATTTTCACATTGCTAGTTCTTGAATTGATTGAAAATTGGCTTATGTAGAAATAATTTTGAAGTTTTAAGTTGATATATATAGTGTTTGATGTAGTTTACATGATTTTAATTCAAATTTGACTTCTCATTGATGTTGTTTTTATTATTGTTAGATCATACATGTTATGGACAACTTGATTTTTCTAAAGGGATAAAGCCCTGGTAACACTCATTTTAAACCATTATACTACCATTTTTTTTAAATTATTCTTGGGTACAACTTTATGTGATTTTTGTTGTTGTGTCACACCCCAAAATTGAGGGTAATCGGCACAAGATGTGACCTGTAAAACACATCTTCGTAAGCCTATAATCTTAAATTCATTCCATTTTTAAAATGTAATCAAATTTATATTGAAATTTTAACATTTTTGATATAGTTATTATAACAAAGTTTTAAAATTTTTGTAAAAAAAAAATTCTACAAAACCTCCCCTATGAATAGCATCTTCCGAACTTTATAATATAAAAATATTTATAGAATATCAAGTCAATCAAGAGATTATGTCACACCCCAAAAATGGGAGTGGTTGGCACGAGATATGCACCTAAACACACATATCTTAAGCCTAATTCAAGAAATGTTCCATTTTAAAAATACTTTTCATTTAAATAAAGCTTTAATATTTTTGTGAAAATTCTGACAAATTTTCCCTTAAGAATAGGTTTTCCCTAAAATTTTACAATACAAAAATTTTTAAAGAAATATTATAACATGTAAGAGCTCAGCTTTCACCAGCCAACACACAAAATATCTACAAAATAAAGACTCTAATCATAGCCTATGTGGAGCATCTATAACATTATTTAAAAATTAAAATTTATAAATTAAAATTTCACATAAAATAAAAATTAACCAAAAAGGTATCACAACTTCAATCCAGTAGTAAAATCCCTTGAAAGATTTGAGGAAGGTACAAGCTGTTTGAAATCAAAAATATTATTCAGTGAATAACGTCCCAACTATAATATTTCAAAATGAAGAAACTATAACATTTACATAATTTAAGGAGAAAACAATTCAATGTAAACAAATTTGAAAATATGAAATAAAAGTTCTATATAACTTTAATATCGAGAAACTTTAAATTTATAATGACAAAGTAGCTTTAACACTTAATTTTGACAAATACAAAATGATTAAATAAATAAATAAAATTAATGACAATTGCTAATTAAAACCATTAAAGTATGAAATCATCAATTAATTAAAATCTCATACTTTTGGGGATTTATTAAAATAATTCACAAATGTGGATACACAGTCCACGAGGATAAATAACCAAACACGGCTTATGCCACGAAAACAAATGTGGACACACAATCCACAAGAGTAAATAATCAAACACAGCTTGAGCTATGAAATAAACGTGGATACACAATCCACCAAAGTAGCTTTAACACTTAATTTTGACAAATACAAAATGATTAAATAAATAAATAAAATTAATGACAATTGCTAATTAAAAACCATTAAAGTATGAAATCATCAATTAATTAAAATCTCATACTTTTGGGGATTTATTAAAATAATTCACAAATGTGGATACACAGTCCACGAGGATAAATAACCAAACACGGCTTATGCCACGAAAACAAATGTGGACACACAATCCACAAGAGTAAATAATCAAACACAGCTTGAGCTATGAAATAAACGTGGATACACAATCCACGAGGGTAATGCTAACCAAACACGGCTCGAAGCCACAAAAAACAAATGTGAGTATGAGACCCATGAATAATAAATGTGAGAATAGAGCTCATGAAAATCAAACTAGCTAATCATTTACTATGGTACGCCAAGAGCTAACGGAACTACCATTAGCAGCTAATGTTCTATATAAAGTCCCCTTTAAATCCATTTTCAAACATGCGAAAAAAGCATCATTTTGAAAATAAAATTTTCAATTTCAATATCAAATTCGCATAAATCATTTTCTATAGCAATTCAATAATTTTCAAAATGAAATCGCATAATTAGAATCAAAACTTGTATTTATTGATTAACTAAAATAATCAATTCTGGTAAAATAATTTCACAAATTAAGGTAATTTAATCAATAAAATATCTAATAATCACATTGTTGTGGTAAAAGAATTTGCATAAAAATGTAATATTTTAATAAAGGAAATTTTATTGAAATATCTGTTAGGACGCTATCCACTTACCTGATAAGCTTCCAAGATAATAATTTATCCCTTCTATACAACTCATAATTGCTCTTTAGATACTCTATTACCAGCAAAGCCAAAGATGCTGAACCAGAGAGAGGAATAATCCAGCATTAAGAAAAGCAGCAAAACTCAAATCTCACATTAATACAAACTAACCGTGTATGCAGAGAAAAGGGAGAAGATCGAAGGTTTCCCCTTGACTACATGAGCATGCTAGTGATGTAAAATTGGGGAGAAGAGCTGAGTGTTGTTGCTATGCGAGAGGACAAAGAAAGAAAGATCGATGTGAAGCAGGGAAACAGCGAACTCAAAGCTCTAATTTTAACAACACAGATTCTCATAGCAATGGTCCTCAATCAACAGGGGCCGAGGCAAGAAGAAGAAGCTAGCCACACCAACATGAAAACAAGAATAGAAGAGGGAGGAGTGGTTGAGGAAGAGATTGCAAAAGGATGCCTCATGAATAAACATAACAAGGGAGGGAGATTTTTTATGCATCCAAGCCGCTACTCAGACAGAGCATAAATGAGAAGGTCATGCAAGCATGACTCTAACGAGAATGATAGAAGGGCACAGCCACCAGTGGCTGCCAGCTGAATGAAGGAGGAAAGACGACGCTGTAGGAGGAGAGGGAAGAGAAATTAGTACAAAACTAAGGAAGGGGATGTGACGCGAACTCCATGGCAACGTCGAATGGAACTCTACCACTTTTACACTGGCAATGAGCTGACAACAAAGAAGGAATGAGGAGAAGATTGAGCAAAGGTTCTGGATCTAAGACATCTCTTCCTCTCTCAGCTAATGACTTTCGCCCGAATTCCTTCAAGAAGAGAAGAAGAAATATACATATATATTCTAATTGTTTTAAGGGCAAAATGATAATTTCACAAAGCTGAGGCCAAAATAAATATCTTTCTTTTTTGCCTGAGCAAAAATCAAACACATAACCTGACTTGAGTAGCTCATTAATGCAACTCCTACTAGATCAACAATCTTTCTTGGTAAAATATCTCCAAAAAATTAATATAAATACAATTAAAACACATTATTATATATTTAAAATTTTACTTAATTTCCTAGGTTATTACAGATTAGCTCCTTCCAGCCAACATATATAACAAAATAGAAGCCCTACATATAGCCTATGTGGAGCACTTAACCAACTTCTCCAAAAATAAAATATAAGCATTTATAGTTACATCAAAGGAAAAGTTCGATCAATTCTTCACCCAGCACGTTTATGAGTTCTCAGGGTCAGTAGGAGAATTGGCATCAATTAAGGTATCTAAGACCAAAAATAATTTTTTGGTGAATAACGTCCCAATAATAATATTAGAACATAAATAAAATGAAAAGTTTGAAATAGTTATGTAAGTTACAGTGACAACAATTTCTATAAAATTTTGATAAATCTCATAATAAAATGGCTCTATAAAATTTCAAATAAAATCTCAAATCATTAAACTATAATAGCAAATGATAATATCATTTGATTTCAAGAAAGTGAATAATTGAAATAAATATTTATAAACAAATTACTAAATAAAAATTAATGAAAAATAAAATCACCAAATAATTGGATTTAAAATTATAAGGACTTATCAGAACAATTAACAAACGTGGACACACAATCCACGAGCATAAGTAACTAAATACAGCTGAAGACATGAAACAAATGTTGACACATAGTCCATAAGGGTAAGTAACCAAAGGTGGCTTAAAGCCATGAAAACAAATGCGAGTACGAGACGTACG